CACACACACACACACACACGCACGCACAAACAAAGCTAGTTTGACTTAAAACCTTTGTTACAACACATTACCCAAGTTGATTAATTTTTTTGTTTTCTATATTATTTTTTCATTTCTTCTACAAATAGTTTATTGAGATTCTTTTACCCTAGTGGGCACAAATCAGGATATATAGCAACTTTCTAAGGAAAAGTCTACACGTATCCAAGGAAAATTCACTATGAAAACAAAAGTATAAAAGACAAGAGAGGAAAAATATGAAAGTAGAGAAGTTGGTTAATGGGGGTACAATCACTTTAGAGTTTGGTGGTCACACCAAAAAAATAGGAAAATGTATTGAAAGGTTTCTCTTTAATAAAATGTGGGAACATGGCCCATTTTCATTTATTGTACACGGGACATTTCCAAAATTGGAATCCGAGCATCAAGATGTGAAATTTGTTGATTCTATGTAGGTTGATAGATGAAAAATGGCTTCTCATGCTTTAACAAATAAGTTCGTCGGTATACCACCATTGAAATGTGATGTACATAAAGTCTAATACTCAAAGGAAAGCAGATACTTTTACAAATATGTAAGTCGTTCTCTTTAATCACTTTAAGGTTAAATCTACAATTGATTATTATCTTTCATGATATTTAATAATTATATTATTATTGTTATTCTTAGGAAGACACTAGGTGTTCACTCTTCAAGTGGTGTTATGAACAAATAAAGGAATACAAGAAAATGAGATTTCACATACAATGCAAAATGACAGTTCAACAATAGTTTTGTTTCAGAGGGATGTACTAAATGAGATGAAAATGGAGCAATCATATTTTAAACATGAGATATAGTTGGAATTATACAATATTAAAAATATGCTAATCTTGCTTATGGTAGCATTAGTTGTATTGTTTGTTTTGATTGTTATCTTACTCTTACTTTTGTAAAATTATAGGTAGAAATACAATGCTGATGAAACTTCCATAGTAACCATTATAAGAATATTTTGGTAATTTTATTTTTGTTTGTGTTTTTTATATTAAGGGTTGGTAGTCCTTTTAGAATTTTCTTTTGCAACGATTCCATTAAATTTTGTACACAAAAATCTAATAATTCTAGATTTTCCACTCTTAACCCAAGTATTTGTTCACTACAAAAAAAACAAGCTTATGCCAATGGTCATAACATATAAAAACAAATTGTTCAAATATATTAGTCATGTAGACTTGAAAGTTAGTTAATTAAAAGCCCATGACAGTCATGTAACAGAACCAATCCCAGGAACCTGTGGATTCAATGGGTTCTAACTCATCCCTCCCAATACGGCTTGGAAAGTATAATTCTCCTGTGACAAATGCTCTATGGAAGCAAGATCAAGCATCTTTGAAAGATATATTGACCTGCCAAAAGACGCCACTCTACAAAGTGAATTGCTCACAAAAACTCCACCACAAAGATGAACCTGCATTCTTTACAACATTATTATGTCCTTGGAGAGTAGTAGTATAGAGATCAATGGAGATAGTTTTGGATCACATTGTTGTAATTGAAATTGAAGCAATCTGTAATTAAATTGGATCATATCGCTGAGTATACTTAAACAACCAATCTAAACAAGACTTTTCTGAGCACATTTGAACAACAAATAACATTTTTCCTAGCAAAGGTACTTTCATATCTCCGTGCACTCTCAAAACTATAGTTGTTTCCAGGTAAATCATTAGCATGCAAGGTAATTTTCCATGACAGAGCTTGGAATTCTATCATCCATACTCCTAACAACATAAAGTCATTAGAGATAAACCTATTAGTTCAGGTTGAAGGTAGAGGAACTGGAAAGAAGTTGGTAGGTGTCTCTTTCTGACTATGACCACTGGAAGGAAATGTACACAATTTCTAGGCAATACACTCTTTACTCTTATGATTGTAAAATCTAAATAAAAAAGACGTAAATCTAATCTAACTATGTTCTTATAACGACTGGGGTGCTTAGGAACGGCTTCTTTTCGACACATGTTGCATTTGAATGACAACACTTGTCTCTTCCATTGGGTTTTCCCCTTTTCTATCTTATTTCCGTCCCCGGCATGCTTCGCACAGTAAACCATGCATTTGAAGCATGGACACAGTGCCTCACTAACGCTCCTTGGATCGCTACTCGATGTGACTTGATCTTGAGTCCTCACTGAATGCTCGAGGTGATTTGACGACGAGGCTTGCTAGTAGAGGTGAATGGTGCTAAGTAAATTGATTGAAACGTTGGCTCTAATAACCGTTGGGGGGATAGAAGGAAGTAACATGGATTTGGCTTTGGTCGCAATTACAAGGTTTTTCTTCCTCTCGCAACCCCTTATTTTCGCCCGGTCTTGTTGTTGTAAGTGTTTGAGAGAGAGAGGGAGAAGGAGAGAGAGAAAGAGAGGCGACGGGTTATCCTCAGGCAGGTGGAGAGATGGTTCATGCGATTGGTTAGTTCAAGCTAGACCTGTTCATGGGCCAGGTGGCCCGGCCCCCGGACAGGCTTGAACAGGCTTTTTGGTCCGCAGGTTTAACCTCGGGCCAAAAAGCCCGGCCCGCATAAAATTCGAGCTGGGCTCGGGCTATTTTGGCAAAGCCCGAGTCGGCCCGACCTATAGTTAAACATAAGTAAAAACCCTATGTGATGTCCATTTGAATGATTTTTTTGATTTAAGAAGGTTGTTGATTCACTTGTAGGCCCATTGTTCATTTAAATAGGGGAAAAAACATCTGAATTAAAATAGATAATGTTCATTTGAATAGGGGAAAATTTGAATTTTTTTTATTAGGTTGGGCTTCGGGCTTTTTATCAAGGCCAAGCTCGGGCCCAAGTTGTAGGCTCATTGGTCGAGCCGAGCTCGGGCCTAACATTTTTCTGTTAATAAAGAGTAAAAGCCCAGCTCAAGCCCGGCCCATGAATAGGTCTAGTT